CTTGTAGAATAGAGGTTTTGGATGTTAACATCAATTGGTTGTAGAAATCTCTAGATGTAATCAATTAGTAAAAGTTATGAGAGACTCAAGAGATAACCATATCAACCATTATTTGTAATTTTCTCAAAAATATTCACCAAATAAATGGTATGCTATTTTTTCAATGCTCATGAATTTTCTTTTTGCTTAGAATATTTTCAAGAATGATTAATCATCATGGCTGAGCTTTATGTTTCTTAATTTTTGTCAATAATTCTTGTAGAGATACTTATAATCACAATTAATTTTTTATTTTTAATACCTAAATTTTCTTGATCTACGAGATTTAGTGTAAAAGTCCAAACCCTTATCATAGATTTCAAATGTATAACTCAGTGATAGAAAAATACCAATACTGAAATTTATTATTTAGCAGAAGTAATTAAAGTTTGAAGGTTACATTCCTTACAGTTTATTTAAAATTCCTATTAGGGGCTATGGGAATGCCTTTGAAATTTAAATGGGAAAAAACATAAATAGAAAACAAATATGGTTAACCTATACTCGAAACCAACGAAACGGGAGAGGTAATTCCTTAACTGATCTCTTACTGTTCAATATCTGGGTCTTGATCGTCATAATATGAAATTGTTAATAAGAAATGAGTGAACTATACTAACTCAGTAAGAATATCAACGTCTTACCACTGATATGAAAAATAAAAGGGTTGTAAAAAACATAAAACAATCAATGGAGCCGATTCTTAATAAAACTCGAATGCTAGTGCATTCATTATTCATTTCACTGAAAACGTTAATATTTCCCCGACTAACCTATAACTTCTCAAATATCATTCATTAAGATAAAAATAAGAATAACAATCTAACAGTATACATTTCAAAAGACATATAACAATTGACTCTTTGCTATTTTTTTTTTCAAAATTAGATTTTTTAACATTTTTATTTCTACTCTATCATTTTACTTTTCTCTACTGGTGTCACTGGGGGTCCATAAGGATCCTCACTACACATGAATATAAATATTTTCTTTGTAATCAAATAACATCCCTATCTCACGTTCAGTAATGGGTACCACAATAAATAACTATTTCAATACCCCGTCCGGTATGAGTGTAGTTAAACCAATTCCCAACCGCGTCCAATATGAAACTTTCCAGCCCTATACAATTGAGGGTAAGATCCACAGTATGGTTCACCCTATGAACTAAGTTTGTACACTCTTTCTCATGACACCCGGTAAGCTCTTTCATTCAATACCATTAGTTCACAGATATCCTTTTTTTATTTACTTTTTAGCCTCAAATAACACATATATCAGCATTCCAAGTGATGCAAGAGTACGTGAATGAAATAAATATACGTTATGATAACTGAAACATATTATGCACAACATAGAATAACAAAAAATATAGATTAAGAAACTATATTATGCTAACTATATGTCTAAAACGAATAGATTGAAGTAAACTGAACAGTAAATAAATAAACACAATAAAGCGACTAACACAATTAAATCAATGACAAGTATAAATTAACCGATTAC